AGGCTTCCTCCAGCTTCGCCTTCGGAGGCTCCAGCGCTTTTGGGGGCGGCACTTTGGGATCCGCGTGGGAGCCCCTAGGGTTTAGGGTTTAGGGTTTAGGGTTTAGGGTTTAGGGTTTAGGGTAGTTATAAGGTTCCTTTAAGGGATCCATAAGAGGGTTCTATTCCAGAAGGGCTCTATGAGGGTCCTATAAGGGGTCTATAAGGGGTCATACTTGGAGGTTCATGGGTACTTATAAGGCTCCTTTAAGGGATCTATAAGAGGGTTCTCTATAAGGGGCTCTCTAAGGGGCCTATAAGGGGTCTACTTGGAGGTTCATGGGTAGTTATAAGTAGGGTTATAAGTGGGGTAACTATAATTATAGCCCATGTTAGGGGACTTATAACCCCACTTATACCGATCCATGATTCTCCAAGTAAGGTCATGAGTCTACAGGGTTCAGGGTCATCACTTTATAGGGCATCGTACGGAGGATCCTACTATTGGGGCTTACCTTGCTGATTCCATCTTCTTCTTATGTAGAACAGGGTTCTGGGCTACCTAAAAGTATGAGCTATGATAAGGTAATATGGGAGTTTCCGAAAATAGGGGGTACCTTATTTAGGGGTCCTTATAATAAGCTACTATTTAGGGTGCTATATTAGGGTCCCCTATTTTCGGAAGCCCACATATCTTGGTGAGTATTGGGGCTTGGGATGTGACGCTACGGTTTGGTGTTGTGTTTTTTTGCTTCAAGTCGGGTGTTAGCAGGGTTTGGGGTTTGAGTAGCGTCTTGGTCTACAGTAGTAGGGCTCTAGGGTCTAAGTAAAGAGTGGTAGTCTACCTGGAGGTTCATGGGTAGTTATAAGTGGGGTTATAAGTCCCCGAATATGGGTTGTAGTTATAGTTACCCTACTTATAACCCTACTTATAACTACCCATGAACCTCCAAGTACATTAGTAGAGGTTCGGCTATGAGCCGTAGGCTGCAGGGTTGTCGATGAAGCACAGGGACCATTGGGGGAAGTCAGTGCTAGCCGTCAGAACATGCGTTTCTGCTTGGCCGTGGTGCCGGGTGCAGCTTCATGACAAGATATCTGCCCTTTGTTTTGTCTCGGATTTACCTGTGTCGGGGAACCTAAACCCCCAAACCCCTGAACCCAATGGATCCCTTGATCCCCGGTTCCAGCTAGAGGTTGCTGGACTCTTCACGATTTCCCCAGCCCAGAGCCCGGAGCCTAAGCCAGACACATCTTGGGGGAGGCGTCGATATTGATGGAGAGCCTCATTGGGAGCCCCGTCTGGTTAAGACTGCAGTCTTTTGGTGCCGGCTCGGCCTCGGTTCTCAGGCTTCAGCTTTGGAAGCAGGAGGCTTTTATAGATGCCTGATTGAAGGGCTGATTCACAGGCGTCTAGTTCAAGGTCTGCTGTTTCAGCCACAGGTCAAGGAACTCAGGCTGGTTCAGAGCCCGCGAACATTGACGGGCAACGTTGGAGAGGTTGCAGCATGACATCCGCCACAGGCGAGCATACTGTAGGGAACATTGGGCAGAGTTGGTTTTCAGCAACCTGTCATCACCCCCGACACGACCACTGCAGATGTTCAGATTATGATAGCGATCAGCAAACCCGAATCTCGAACCGACGGCTATTGTATAGGCACCCTGAACTCGGCAGTGAATGCTCAGGATGGCGGCATCACGGAAGTCCTTCCAGTGTCTGCAGACTTCCCGACGATAACAGTCGCGCCGGTGCCAGCCCTGCATTTGCTGTCAGCAGCATTTCAGGTTCACTGAGCGTGGATTGAAGATGCAGCCCAGCGCGTCGCCACATTAAGCTGTTAAAGGACCGATGCAAAACCCGATTGAGAAAGAACGCATTGCGGTGGACATCGCGACACTTTTTATCAAGCATACATCCCCAGCCTGGGCTAGGCACGGGATACTGTGTCCCCATGTCACACGCTTCAAAAATCTCAAAGACATGGTGCCGGGCCAGCGTTCGTGCGGCACTTGCATGCAGTCTTGATCCCTGTAGACGAAGCGTTAATGTCGGCAGTAGTAGTCGCGAGGGAAGTGTTACACTACATGTTATATCAAGGATCATGCCCTAATGGATCTGCTTTGTGGTCCCTTCTCTCCTGCAACTCCCGGATCGTGAAGTGTGAATCGTAGATCTTACATCTCAAAGCCCTGCTTGAAGGTTCATGGGTAGTTATAAGTGGGGTTAAAAGTCCCCTAATAATAGGGGTTATCATTATAGTTAACTTATAACCCTACTTATAACTACCCATGAACCTCCAAGTAGATCTTACATCTCAAAGCCCTGGAGCTTGGCTCAGGTGAGTGCAAAGGCCGTTGACATTTGCCCTGATGCAGGCCCCATTCCTGCTTAGGGCTGAGCGTGTGGGCTCCAGGCTTTGCTCGAGAAGCTTCGGGTCGGATTCCTATAATTTCCTGAACTCGGGCCACAAGATGATCTTCGAATGCCACAAGATTTTTGTTCCATCCGGAGTTTATGATGGAGTTCGTTCTGAATTCGCAGAGTCCCAACTTCGAGTGCAAAGCTGGCTCCTTCTCCACATCCTCCTGCTCCGGCGATTGCATCTGCTGCTCCGGGTCCTCCTCGTCCTCCTCAACCTCCTGCCCTCCTCCTCCACTTCCGCCTCCGCCCCCGCATCCCCCTTCGCCTCCGCCTCCTCCTCCTCGTCCTGCGATTACTACTATTGGACGACAACGGTCACTACGACTACTACGACGTCGACGACCATGACGACTACTACCGCCACTACCACCACTACCACTACCACGACCACTACCACGACAGTACGACTACTCTTCTACGACCACGACTCCGACCTCGAGGACTCAGCACGGAAACACTCTCGCAACGCCTCCCTAAACCCGAAACCCTAAACCCTAAACCCTAAACCCTAAACAACCCTCTCCATCCAGGCTTCTGGGTGCTGCCCTGCGCCCTCGGAGCCCGGGGCTGGCGCCTCGGTGCCCAGTCCGCCTGCGCGGCCTGGGCCCCTCGGCTTTTAAAGGCCAAGGGCCTTTCGGGGCCAAGGGACTCCACTACTTGGAGGTTCACGGGTAGTTATAAGGGGGTTTATAGGGTTCCTTTAAGGGTTCTGTAGGGTTTAGGGTTTAGGGTTTAGGGTTTAGGGTTTACTTGGAGGTTCACGGGTAGTTATAAGTAGGGTTATAAGTAGGATAACTATAATTATAACCCCTATTAGGGGACTTATAACCCCACTTACAACTACCCATGAACCTCCAAGTATAGAAACCTTGTCAGAAAAGAGATGTCAGCAGGGTCCGGAATTCACGGGATGTGGGTTTAGGGACGTGCTCTATTTCAACGATGAGTTTCGGTTGCAATAGTAATATATATCTATATATAATATACTATTAATATTACTATTAATATTTAGTATATGTACAATACATAATAAAATATAATATCATGGAAACCCGCCCGAAAGTCCCGAATTCGAAGGCTTCGCTTCTTTTCGGAAAGCTCCCCCCGGCTGATTCAGGATTGCACCTTCATGTTCTCGTCGGCGCGGATGATGAAGTACTGGGCTGCTGGCGAAGCGGATGCCCAGGTTCCGGCAGTCTCGAGATTTAATTGACACGGCTGGCCATGGTAAACAAGAAGAAGAGGATGAGTGATCACGAGGACGACAATTAGGATGATGATGAAGATAATGATGATGATCACGCGCCTACTTCTGCTCGGCCCCTTCCTGCTGCCGCTGCTGCGGCGGCGGCAACTGCAACATCTACTGCTGTCCTTTCGCTGCTGCTGCCAGTGCTACTTAAAGTTGGAGTAATACGACGACGCCAGGACGACTGCTGCTGCTGCAGCTGCTGCTGCTGCTGCTGCTGCTGCTCTTCCTCCTGCTCCTGCAGCTGCTGGTGCAAATCCCTTGACAGCAACTGTTTGTATTCGCATGTGAATGTTTGTGTCGGAACAGAACCTTTCTTTTCTGTGCAGGGACACCTGACCTAGCAATCGGAACAGGCCTTTCTCCAGAGAAGTGGCTATGCTGAGCCGCTGGAGCTGCCAGTGCGGCCATGATCCAGCTCTGCTTTGGCGTGTGCCAGAGATCTTCAAAGGGCTTGTGATCTCACAGTTTGCTAACGAGCGCCCAGCTTAGGGTTTGCGTTTCACATGCAGTTTTCTGTTTCTGGCCTTGCAGGGCCACCTGTTTTTGCATGTGCCAGTGATGGCAATGGTTCATCCGATACGAGATGCTGCTTAGCTGCTGCATGGAGCACCCTGGCATTGTGGCCTGCTTGGAGGTTCATGGGTAGTTATAAGTGGGGTTATAAGTCCCCTAATAGGGGTTATAATTATAGTTACGCTACTTATAACCCCCCTTATAACTACCCATTAACCTCCAAGTGGTGTAGAAGCGGCAGACGTAGTCGTCAGAGCAGTCTGCAAGCACTGCCACGAAAACAGCTCGGACTCACTTTGCCCTTGTCCCTGCAAGTGCTTTCAGAAGCCGAAACCCGACCCACCCCACCAAGAATCCCAAAGTTTCCTGTTACCAAGCATATGTACCCTATTTGCCCGAACAGAAGCGGAGGGAACGTCGCGAGCGATTGCTTAGCGCCTAGTGAGC